CTACCTCACTTCTCCAACAGCCTGTGCGGCCTTCGGTAACCCAGACGACGACCGAGCCGGTACAATGTTCGATGACGGAAATGCTACAAGGGGTAGGTGGCTACATTTTACAGGATATCTTGCCTTCGGTCCGCCACCCCTTTCCTTTCTCATCCAGAATTGAACTCCGGCGAAGGTTGAGTTCTGCTTTTCTCATTGGTACGAAACGATCACTTTCTTTCATGATTACGTTTGAATCATTCTCAGGTTTGTTCAAGACGAATGGTCAATATTGGTATTGATGAACGACGTTATGGAATAAAAGTAATACTATACGGACACAACTGCCAGAGTCTAAAAAGAACAAAAGTAGGGGGCGTAAAGAGGTGACGAAATCGGTTTGAATCATTTCGCAATTTCAGCTGAGGAACTTAATTTTGCAGTGCTAGCGACATTGCGCAAATGCTAAAAAACCTTATCATTAATAACAAATATTGTCGATCTATAACAGATGTTCGAACATGAAAAATGTCAGCTGCCGATGATGCCATAACTGCGCGTTTTCCGTGCCATCGGTCTGAAATTGGTGAAACTCGGTACTTTGAGTCATTGCCGAAAAACGGACCATGCTAAAAACTGTAATCGTTATACGTAACTTCGCGCGAATTCACAGAACTTAGTCTTTTGCCTTAATAAAACTTGTCTACCGTAAATAATGTACCGTTCTCCTACAACTTTCCCCGCCAACTCAGATTTCAGCGGTGCTCTCGATGACTGTGCACTGAAGGCATCGCTGAATCACTGTGTACACAAAGCAACGACGGGCGGACGGTCTCTCGCAGATATTTTCTAACGCTTAGACGAAGGCAACGTTTCGTCAAGGTCATAGCGCTGGCGAGGGTCACAACAGAAGATGAGCGGTGTGAAAACGCAGTATAGAACAACTGTTAAAAATGCCACAATGATACTAACTAACGCGATGCCGTTTCAGGAACGACACTCGGCCGAAGAACAGATACTCAGTCCGACAGGCGACGCTCGAAGACATTCCGGCAATACGCGACTTGGCGCTTCATTATTATTTCAGTCCCGGACTGCACAACCTCATAGTGTTCTACAAATCTAGTCCAATCGGATGGCAAGTGGCCGAAGACGAAGATGGAACCACTGTTGGCTACTACATTTATAACCAACTTCCGGTCGAAGGTATTAGATTTGGCTACCAACTGTTGGTCAGCCGGAAGCACACCGGCAAAGGTATTACGAACATGTTTAACATGCCAAAGAAGGATGGCGTCCCGGTGATCGCAAACGTTACACCTGACACGATTCAGAGGTACCTGATCGACAGCTGGTACGAAAAACTGCTGTGCTACGTTGGCGCTGTCTTTCCAGGAAGGGGCTTTCCTGTCCATCCGCCTAAGAATAAGCTAAATATTGAGGAGGTAACCGATGCTCATCTGGACGCCATATATAGTTATGACCTTGGATTGCTTGGTTTTGATCGCAAACAATTTCTGCGACTCTGGTTGAACAAGGACGAGTTTGGAAAATCAGTGTGTGCCGTTAAAGATGGCATAATTCTGGGTTACGGCACTCTAAAGATTGCGGAAAAGTACACAATGATTGCCCCAGTATACGCTGATAGTGACGAAGTCGCCTTCGCTATACTGTATGAACTGCTGCACGACTACGACATGAGCTTGACGCTGAGTCTGATCTTTCCGGCCACAAACGCTTTCATGTGCCACTTCGTCAAAAACTTAGGGCTACAGTTGTTCACCTCTGAAATGCGAATAACAAGAGGAAACTGCGAAGCGGTGGTCAAGAATCTTCAAATGAAAAAAGTTTACGCTTTGCACGAATTTTGGCCAATTTGAACAGTAAAATAAATATTAAAAAACATCCGTATTGTTTGTCTTATTCGAAGATAAGGCTCTAGTAATTTATGCAAGCTTATAATGCATGCGGAACAGGTTAGAAATAAAACCCTCCATCCTGACTCCTTAAGTTTCAGACACGTTTTCCGGACAGCTGCATGTTCATTGGTTCGAACAGAACACCGACACCATGAATTCATCTTTGTTATCGCTTTTAATGGCATTTAAAACATCTGAATGAAGAACGACCCTCGAAGCATAGAAACGTACTATCCAACAAACCAGTATGCAATTTTGGACAGGCATTTTCAGTTCATATTTTATGCAGTGTGTCTTTGGTGCATATGCCCAAGCTTTTGCCTATTCTCTAGCAATCCTATTTAAAAATTAACTTTCGTTCATCTACTTGTTCAATCGGTAATTAATTAAATTTTTCGTTAATTTGTAATTAGATAAAACAGTGACAGTGAAACTGAAATTATAATGACTCCGTGCATTGTCACGCTTGTCAATCAGGGCTATTGGGTCTACCCAATTGGCGGATGCCCGGTACAACTGCAACAGTCCTCCTGAATCAGCTGCGTTAATGACCAGAAGGAAAGAGTGGATAAAAACGACCAATCAAAGAAAGCAAATAAAACTTTATGAAACAAGCTATTTTAGCACACCTGTGGCTGATTAGGCGCTTGAAAAAGCAGGGCAACCTTATGTGGTTAGTCTAAAACTTTCTTCGCCGAGATTAAAATCTGCGATGAATTCGATCGTTTCATATCGGACGGGAAAGTGTATCAAAAGATGTCACTAACAGGACTCACGGAGACTAAAATCAATGCAATGATGAATCATTTTTTCAAATTTTACATGCAACCAACATATCTGAGATTTATATCCCGACCCCGTCCGAACTTGGTTTTTTTCAGGAGATAACTCGAATATTGAGTAGATACCTTAAGAGTTCAGTAACCACAGGGTATTTTAAGCCGTAGACCTTCGACCGTTCGGTTGGACAAGTAATAGCTG